GACTGGTTGACTGAAATATGAAGTGATTTTAATGATTCTGCTAAGAAACTTGGTGTTTAGTGGATCAGACCTGACAATCTGGAAAAGTCCGACGGGTCACCTTTACGAGGGAAGACCTGTGAGGATCCTTCATCAAAGGAACGAGCTACAGAGCCAAATGTGTCGGTCACATTTAATAATCAGCATTATTTTCTATTGTGCTTCTATAACATGAGTTAATAAGTATAAATGGTAAATGGCTTGTATTTGTGATTTCTCTCAAAGCCACACTGTCAGAAAAGATCAGAGGTCTGCCTTCCTGTGGATAGGACTCATCTCTATTAGCTGTGTTGTAATCATATTTTCCTTTTTTCACACATTAAATCCACACATCCTGACAGAAAACACTCAGATTAATTACCTCAATTACTTCCCATTTCAACCCACAGCTTAAATCTCTGGAGTGAGACACAAAGGGCGTCTGCAGAGCTGAACATAAATCACATCTTTATTTTCTTTTACTTACCCTCCACTGCTCTGCCCATCTCCTCATTGTTTTTCTACCAGTGGACACGCGTAAGTCTGCATGCACGTGCGTGAATTTACATTTTTAAATAAAATGTGGCAACGTCGCTCCCTAAATGTCTCATTACTTCCTTCTCGGGTGTAATTGCTGCACCGAGTGAAGCCACAGAAAGACCCACGGGGTGAATGCAGTTAAAATGAGTTACAAAGCAGAACCATCACTTATTATTCAGCTCCAGACAGCGGCAGAGGAAACCCTGAGCAGAAGGATGAGGAAAAGGACCTGAAATCTAAAAAAAACCTCTTTGATTCTACATTCAACACGTTTAAGAGGGAACCAATCAAAACAAGATTTCCTGCTGTTTGAGTTCGGTCCGCAAGGACAAGACATTCAGTTTTCACAAAGTTTGCTATTTCAGGGCTTTGGGATATTATTTTGTCTAATGTTTCCATGGTGACCAAAGGAGATTACAAGAATTTGACCCATTTTAAAAGCTTTTATTGACAAATATAATTTATGCCAAAGGAAAGGCTTGCAGTTGTGGCCCTTTTTACTTTTTATATCCAGTTTCACTGCTTTGCGGATGACACCCAGCTCTGCATTTCCAGTAAGCCCAATACAACTCTCCCACCATCCTCCCTTACACTCTGCCTCTCTGAAATCAAATCATGGTTCACCTCTAATTTCCTCAAACTCAACGGCAATAAAACTGAACTTCTTCTAGTTGGCACTAACTCCACCCTCTCAACATCTGACAGCTTCTCTTTAACAATTGACAGCGCCATAGTCTCCCCCTCACCTCACGTCAAGAGTCTGGGTGTCATTCTCGACAGCTCACTTTCTTTTCAGGCTCACATTAATAACTTAATTCGGTCAGCATACTTCCATCTACGTTCCATAAACCGTCTCCGTCCCTCACTGACCCCTCACACTGCCGCCATTCTCGTCCACAGCCTCGTCACCTCCCGTATCGACTATTGCAATTCACTTCTTTATGGTCTCCCCAACAAACTCCTTCATAAACTGCAAATGGTCCAGAATTCAGCAGCCCGTATTATCACCAGAACCCCTTCCTTTCACCACATCACGCCGGTTCTCCAGCAGCTTCACTGGCTCCCAGTTAAATTCAGGTCCATCTTCAAAATTCTCCTTCATACCTTCAAAGCAATCCACAACCTCTCTCCTCCATATATCTCAGACCTTATAAGTATTCACACCCCATCCCGTTCACTCAGATCTTCTTCTTCCAACCATCTTGCAGTTCCTTCTGCCCGTCTCGCTACCATGGGGAGCAGAGCTTTCAGCCGCTCTGCTCCTCGACTCTGGAACTCACTTCCCCCAGACATCAGGAACATCGACAGTTTTATCCTTTTCAAAACTCAAAACACACATGTTTAAATCTGCCTACAACCTCTGATTTTATTGAAATGTTTCTCTCTGTTTTTTCTTCTTTGGGTTTTATTATTGTTTTATTGTATTTCATTACGTGTTTTGTGTAAAGTGACCTTGGGTGTCCTGAAAGGCGCTTTTAAATAAAATGTATTATTATTATTATTATTAGACCTCAGCAGTTCAGCCTGACAATCTGCTTCAGGTCCTAATCCCAAAGGTTATTCAGCCCTTTATTGAACATCAGCGTTTTTAGAATTTGTGGGATTTTTTGCTGTTGTTGTTGTTTACTTGCAACTTTAAAGGAGCAATATGTAAGAATTCTACTGTGAAATAATCACAAGCAGTCTGATGTTGCAGTCATGTTAAAGAGCGACAGTCGCTGTTTACATCAGTGAGACAATGGGCTTGCCGTGCCTTAGATGAGCTAACACAGCCAAACATCTTCAGTTCAGACAGGAAACAGGAGCGACCTAGAAGTTATTTCTTGTACCCCCAAAAATCCACAACATTTTTTTGTTTTACTCTGGTGAAGCAGGCCAGAGGCTAACGTTGAGCTAACAATGCTAATGATGATTTAGAAGCAAAAAGTTGGCGCTAAAAATATCTCAAGCTACTTTTTCAATGAGCAACAACTTGGTACAACAGTAAAATGTATGTGTGAAGTGAATAATCAGTAATTCATGGTGTTTTACTGCCTTGCAGAACACTGAAGAAACATTTCTAAGTTATTTGTGATTATAATCTGTCACTTTGAGTTGCAGAGCAAGTGGAGTCAGTGGTAGAGTCACGCCGCTGTAGCCAATCTGACACGAGATGTCAGAATATCAGGAAACAAGACTCCGTCGTCTGAAGCTACTTTCCCCAGCTGACTTGTGCTTCCTGATTCAGGTGCATCTGAAAGATAGGCGCTTCTGCATCTTTCATCAGAATCTGACCCCATAACTTGCGGGATCCCACAGGGGTCTGTTTTGGGCCCCATTTTTGTTTTCCCTGTATTTGTTACCTTTGTTTAGTCATGTTTCTCATCACTCGTTGATGATATTGTGGCGGCCCTGACACTGATAGGCCGGCAAGGCCGCATTGCACTCTGGGGGGATGGTAAATTGGGGTTGTTTGTTCAGTTTGTGGTGTTTTGGGGGTTATATTTTTCGGGGTTATGTTAGTGTTGTTTGTTTTAGTTCAGTGTTCATGCTGTGTTGTTCTTATCCGGTGCCTGCTGGCACCGTGAGTTAAATGTATGTGTGGGGGCATGAAAAGGGGAGCCATCCGGCTATTAAAAGTGTTCTTCGTCTGCTACCTGTTGACCCTTCTTTGCTGCTTCACACACACCCCACTAGAGGGCGGCACAGACCGCTACAATATTCAGCTGAACTGTTCCACTCAGACTAGGAGCTGTATGGGCTATTGGCGTTATTCAGTTGCCTGACTGATTCAACCCTGGGAGGTCTTCACCTAGCCATGTCAGTCTGCTAGTTAGAAGTATTGCTAAGGTGTGCTTCTTGCTCTCCAGATCTAACCTGAATGTTGATCTTTGCGTTTATAAATCCTGTTTGGACTATTGTAAAAGTCTCTCGGCTATTTTCTGCTTTTCATCGGCTGCCAGCATGAATCAAGAATGCATTTCAAGATTCTGGTCCTTACTAATAAGGCCTTGCATGGTTTGATTACATTACACATATTCTTATGCTGTATAGGGAAGTCCCCTCCCCTTCCGGTCGGCTCATGGGTCACCAGAAGAACAAACATTTGAATGCAAGTGAAAATAGCTACAAAAGCAGCTTTCTAATCCGCTTGGCTTTACGGCCTGAATCACGCGTATGTTGTACTCCAACTTAAATGAAAAGTAATGACGTGAGTTTTGACTGTGTCTGTCACATATTTACTGCACCATACATACCATCTTTATTTCTATAGCACAATTTAAGACACAGCGTGAGAACTGACCAAAGTGCTGAACAGGCAGGATCAATAAAAAAATAAAAATAAAAATAAAAAACAATAAAAGATAAAACACAACAATAAAAACTATAAAATCATAATATGATAACATGAATCACTGTCTAAAAGCCAAGTCATAAAAGTAGGTTTTTAAACGAGATTTAAAAACAGGCAGAGAGGATGCCAGCCTGACTCTAATGGGCAGTGAGTTCCAGAGCATGGGGGCAGCGTGGACAAATGCACGTTCACCTCGTGGTTCGAAGGACGTCTGGGGAGTGCAAAGCAGGAGACGGTCAGCTGACCTCCACATACGAGTAGGTACATATGGGAGTCGGCAGGTCGGACGGATAAGGAAGATCTAGGTCGTGTAGGGCTTTAAAAACAAACATCAATGTCTTAAAACGCACACGAAATGAGATGGGGAGCCAGTGAAGATCTTCCAGGACCGGTGTAATATGGCTTTGATGGCTTGTGTTTATTAAAAACCTAGCAGCGGGATTTTGGACAACCTGCAACCGGTTCAGGGCAGAGACAGGAGTTCCGACTAATAATGCATTAGCGTAGTCCTAGTCCTAGTATTTAGAGATGTGTTAGCTTGTAAAGAAGGTACTTACCACATGGTCAGGTTGTTTGATTTGGTTTTCTCCACGTTTGTTGCTCCTTCTGTTGTCCTGGAAGAAAGCTCGCTAAACAAGCGGCCATTTTCTGCTCCATGTCTGGTCCGATAACGTCAACACGGTGAGATGAACATTTGTAGTTCTACAAGTCTTTTCACACAAAACCTAAATCCCATTTTGCCACAGTTTGAAAGTAAACACATGAAAACGTGTCTTTAAAATTCACAGACATCCACGGCACATAACAAACGGGATAGGAAAATAGATTTTAAAGCCCCATTGACTTGCATTCATTTTGTCTTATTCCCGGAGACCCGTGGTCCAGAAGTAGATGGGCCATAATCAGATTATTTTTTAGAATATTTTGGAATTTAATCTCAAAGCCCATAAGTCTCTTTTACGAACTCCCCAATCATTCCTCCAATCAGCTTCTTCTACTTTTGCACTTTTGTTGCACTGAAGCACCGTTTCTCAAGTATCTGAGAGAACCTGAAGAAGCTCCTAAATGACACATTTTAAATAATAACAGATACTGAGGAGGCGGCACGTCACTGGGTTTTTCTAGTTTTATTCATATAGGAGAACTTTTATATGTGCAGCATATATCCATCTGTATCTACATTTGTTCAGTTTTTACATACGTACAGTACAAATCCAAACTTGTAAAGTCAAGCATCGACCAGTTTCAGCCGTAGTTTCCTCTCAGACTGAAGCGAATAAAGATACATAAAGGGGGCGGTACTATGAGAGGAGCCGCTAGAGTCCAAACGGCCGCACGTTTTCACACTGAGAGGAGAACTAAAAGGAAAAGATTCACTATTTTCTATCGTAGTGCATAAAGGTCTCACAGTGGGAGGTAACACGTTGGAGAGATTCCTGCAGGAAGTTCGGGGTGAAAGTAATGCCTTGGGTATCAGAGACTCGTGTTTAAAGGTCAGTTTGTGAACGAGAAGAAGGGCTCAGAGATCAGGTCTGACACTTGTGCCTTTAAATCAGTCGTTTCTCTGGGTGTTAGCACAGCCCACACTCCTCCAGCTCACAGCTATAGAGCCACGTTAAACTCAGTCACCAGGAAGTCCACGTGGTCTCTTTCTTTGGTCTTGAAGGCCTCGGCGATCAGACGGGCGGCATCCCTGTGCTCGCGACCCCTCAGGGAGACCCCGTTCACCTCCAGGATGATCTGACCCACCTTCAGCTGGCCGCAGTTATGAGCCGAGCCCCCCCTCTGAGAGACAGAAACAGGACAACGTTCAGGTAAAAGCTCTAAATGGATCCAACGTGCAGTAAGTGTTTGATGTTCAGATTGGTGAGGTCAGACTGAGGCAAACATGCTTTAATTGAAAGCTGATAAATATCTCATCAGAAATAATAACGATGACCACAACGTTTGATCTGTATCAATAGCTGCTCACTACGCTTCAGTCTGAGTGACCCTACAGACCCATCCTAGAGGGAAAACTTCCAACAACAAATAAAAACGATCGGTGCCAAAGACAGACGCTGCACCTGAAAAGCCTTCCTGTTTTTAATGTTAATCCAAAACTCGGTCTTCAACAAACCAAAAACGTCCAGTTGCCTTGATTTGAACCCTGTGGATTATCATGACCTGGATGACTGAGAACCTTCACCAGCATTTTTATCTTCCTAAAGGACTTACATGCCATTAGATTACTTTAACTGGAACCAGTTCCTCACTGGGCAACAACTGTAAACTGTGCTTGAAGAGAAGAGACGTGTCCTGAAACCAAGTTCTCAATTTCTTCCTGGGACTCGTAGGATCCGACTTAGTTTAGTTTTTGTGAGAACAGAAACTTTGAGCGGAGTTAGTGTACACACACACACACACACACACACGCATGTAGGGTTGAGTGCTTTAAGAGCTATATATATATATATATATATATATAACCTCTACTTATGACCAATAAGCTGCAATACTCTATCTAAATCTAGAATATCACCCAGCCTGGTCTTTATTGTGCTTTAATCAGAAGATTCTAGGAGTCTTTATTTATTAGGGGATGTACACACTTCCTTTAGATTCAGGAAACAGTCAGGTTTATAAAAGTAAGAATTTATTTTACCAACAATTAAAACATGACAGGTTAACTAACATTTACTGTGATGGATGGAACTAGATGTGAATGTGATGTTAGTCAGAACTTCTGGATCCAGGAGAGCCGAGTTCTGGATGTAACAGAATTTGGTTTGTGTTAAGCTATGAAGTTGATTATTATCAAAAACACATCAGACGCTATCTGTGTGTCCACATGACTCGTTTTTGGAGACCCTCTTGGTGGGTCCTAAGGTCAGAGAGGTCAGATGACCTCTGGCACCGGTGGGCTGTAGAATACCGTGGCACCGATCCTTCAGTCCAGAGAATTCTCGGGTCACGACAAGACGGATGGAACCGCACGTCTCTGGTGGACTCTTGAGGAGTCTAAACAACATCAGCTTGTTCTGCAGGAACTGTGTTGCTGTGTCAGCTTCGTAGGTGCAAAAAGATTTTGACGACGTTTCAAAAGCTTTGATGGTTAAAGAGGTGTTGCTCCAGGTGGCCGGTCTGAAGCTTTCTCTAGAACCGAGGAAGAACCAGAGTAATCTGGTTTTAATGTTCTCATGTTATGACTGTGTAGCCAACCAGAGGTTGACAAGTTTGAGGGATATTACCAAGAATCTCAGAAACACGCCTTCTTTGATCGGAGGCTCTGATCTGGGGTAAAGGCTATTTATGTGTCATGGGCTTAACTTTACCTCACTGTTCTTGTGTGAGTGCAAATGTTATGACCTGGTCAAGTAAACATGCTGAAACTTATATCATTGAGCACAGGTTAATGACACATATATCCGTATTTTATAATTATTATAAGTATAATAAACAACATTTATTTGATGATTTTAAAATCTTATTTTCTTCTGTGAGCAAAGAGACTTAGACAAGAGGGTGCTCTGTGAGGGACCTTGAGGAGTGAATGTTGTTATGATTTCGTTATCTCTGTCAGACCAGCAGGCTCTGAGCTCCAGCTGGTGGGATGCAGGCAGGCCGATTTAAAGGGAACACTGCAGTCTCGGGTCTCCTTTTCGACCAGATGTTGAACGGTCAAACTGTACCTAAAACCTGGCCATTGCTGGATGTTACACACCCACACACAAACATGCATGCACACACACCCACACTCACATGTTCGCACACACGCATGCATGTTTGCATGCAAGCGTGTGTGCTTTTGCATGCACACACACTTGCATACAAAAGCACACACGTACACATACACATACACTCACACAAACACACACGTGCATGCACACCTGTATGCACACACACAGACACTCACACGCATGCACTCACACACGTGCATGCACACACAGACGCTCACATGCACACTCACACACAAAAACACACAAATGCATGCACTGCATGCACACACACTCACACATGTGCATGCACACACACATGCACAAGCAGACGCGCGCGCGCACACACACACACACACACACACACACACACACACACACACACACACACACACACACACACACACACACACACACACACACACACACACACACACACACACACACACTCACACACAAAAACATACAAATGCATGCACTGCATGCACACACACTCACACATGTGCATGCACACACACATGCACAAGCAGACGCGCGCGCACACACACACACACACACACACACACACACACACACACACACACACACACAAATCATTTAAACGATAAAATGCGTCGTCGCTGAGCTCGCCTACAGGGAGGTTTGAAGCAGCACTTTTTGCAGTACAACACAACGTAAAAAACAACAAAGCTGTAAAATGTAACATTTATTGTGAAAAACATAATAGAAAAAATTAAAAACTAACAGTAATAAATTACATAGAGAGTGGGGTCATGCCAGGTCAACTGCAGCAACTGCAAAACCAAACTGACTGCAGAGGGAACGTATGCACGTGTTGTCAGTTCCATCCCCGCACACCTCTCCAGTAAGATCCCACATCAGGACACAACACCAACACAATAAAAACCACTGATTTCTGACGGCAGGACTTGAAGCGCTTCTTTTCCCTCTGGCAATTCTTTTTTTGAAGTAAATCTTTTCAGGAATTATGAAAACCGAAACAGCAAAAGCATTTTTTAAACTTCTCTTTGCTTAAAGAGCTTTGTTTAAAATTCAAGTAGATAAATAAAACGGTTTAAGGCTCTGCGTTTGTTATTCCTGCTCAAACGGCTGGGATTGGCGGGTTTTCTGTGATACCTGCCTCCACCCAGCTCTTTATGACGACTATTGTTGAAGGACAGTAGGACAACGTTTGTGAAACTAAATAAATCTAAAATGCTAAATGGGTCATTATGTCAGATTAGAAAGTCACACACTCAAGAATTTGGAAGTCTGCAGGACATAAAGCTGCTCTTCAGGTGAGCTTTTCATGGACTGAAACACAGGACAAATTTTTTGAGGATTTTGTATTTCATATAAAAAATCACTTTTATTTTTCATGTTCTTCAATAATTTTAGGCCTGAAGGAAGCAGCATCCCTAAAAGCCTGATAAACAGCCATAAAGGCAGCTGTTCCTTTATGTTTTTCTTCTGTCTGAGGTGGAAATCACAGCCCAGCTTTACATTAGTCAAGACTTTTCACACCGGTTTTATTGTGATTATACCTTACCTTTGGATATTTTCTGCCATCCATAATTTATGTCAATTACCAGCAGAGGAAGGAGGAGGGCATTTTGCAGAGAGGGGAAATGTAACGGCTGTCTGGGTGCCGGTTATAACCGATGGCAGAGTCCGGTCCGCTGCAGCAGAATCTCACAGAACCTGAGGCAGGATCAGGGTCTGCAGACGTGTGATTGGCTGAACTCGACACATTACAAAGGGGAAGATCAGAGAGGAAGGTGCAGAGACTGAAACCAAACGTGAACCGATATGCTGATTTATAACCAGACAGAAAACATTTGAAAATTTTAGCTGAGTGTGTCTTTATGATGTGAATAAATACCAAAGTTATCGGTCTCTCGCATTACTGGGATTTTCGTTCCTGCTAAGAAAAATAAAGAAAAAATAACAGAGTGCCTTTCCACAGTAACAGTCTTATATACAAATACATCTATATGTCAAACGTCTGCTAAGCTAAAACGTTGAGCATCCTGAAACCAACCAGAAAAGGAGATATAGCTTCCTGCTACCGTCCCTCGTGATAATGGACCACAAGGGTCAGTACTAGGCCCAAAACTATTTATTATTTATATGAATGATATTGTCTCTACATCTATCTTATTTGCTGATGACACAACTTTTTATTATTCAGGAGACGATATAGATCAAATGATAGAAGTGATACAGAGTTGGAAAAAATCTAATTATGGTTCGATGGGAATAAGCTTTCATTGAACACAGATAAATCACATTTTATGATATTCAGCAATAGAAAGTTGAATATTAAAACATTAATAAAATTAGACAAAATCTGTATTAAAAGAGTAAAGGAAGTAAAATTTTTGGGAGTCATCATTGATGAGAATTTATCTTGGAAACTACATATAAACAATATCAAACCTAAACTAGCTAAATCAATTGCAATATTACTAGGGATGGGTAACTTAGACATCTGAATCGATTCGGAACTAATTCCCGGTACCTACGAATCGATACCGGTACTTAACGGTACCAATTTTAGATACTTTTGAGTTTAATATTTTAATTCTCTTTTATAATTAAATATATATTTTTCTCAATATATAACCATATTTGATAAATATCACGATAAATAACACACAACTGTTTGTATTTTAACATCGTCCTTGTAGTTTTATAAGCTGATAATTAAACTGAAGCAAACATCTTTACTGTGAACTAAATTTACTGTGTATCTTCATTCCTTTTGCCGTCCTTTTTCATTTGATTTTTCCTACTGGGAAGTTAGAATTTCCGAGGAGAAAGCGAACGCACCATTAGCTGATAACAACGGTGGCAATGGAAGCTAACATATCAAGCTAATGTTATCTTAAACAGTTTATTTAGCTGCTGGAGCAGATTAAAACGATGATGCCTCACACTTAGATCGTTGTCGCTGGTTTCATCTTCACCCAATCACCCGTCGCATTTAGTAAAGTGAAGCCAAACTTTAGAGCGCGCTCATGTTCTTCTAGTCGAAAATTCGGAGTTCCGAGGAGAAAGCGAACGCACCATTAGCGAAACTGTCCACTG